ACCCAACCACTCACTCACCCAACCATTCACTCACCCAACCACTCGCTCACTCAACCACTCGCTCACCCAACCACTCGCTCACTCAACCACTCGCTCACCCAACTACCCGCTCACCCAACCACCCGCCCACCCACCCGCCCGCTCGCCCGCCCACTCGCTCACCCAACCACTCGCTCACCCAACCACTCGCCCACCCAACCACCTGCTCGCCCGCCCACCCGCTCGCTCTCTCCCACGCCCCTCACCTTGACACCGTGGCTCGACACTCCGCTGCGCTTGCTGAACGCCGGCGACACGGCGCCGGAATCCCGCGACCGAGGCCGCTGCGCGTTGCCGGCCGTCCCGGCCTTCCCGGCGGCCGCCGCCGGCGTCGTCCGCCCCCCGCCGGCTTCCCGCGGCTGCCCCCGCGGCTGCCCCGTCCGGGCGGCCGTCTCGTCGCCGGCGCCGGCGTCGGAGCGCGCCGAGGAGACGTAGCTGGGCACCGGCGAGGGGCGGCCGCTCTCCGGCGGGGCCCGGCGGCCCGGCTCGGTGCGCCCGCTGGTACGCGACGCCCGGGACGCCTGCCTGCACGACGGGACGGCACAGGGTGGCGCAGGGTGGTACAGGGTGGTGTAGGGTGGCGCAGGGTGGTACAGGGTGGTGCACGGTGGTGCAGGGTGGGGCAGGGTGGTGCAGGGTGGTGCAGGTGGTACAGGGTGGTGCAGGGTGGTACAGGGTGATGTAGGGTGGCGCAGGGTGGTACACGGTGGTGCAGGGTGGTACAGGGTGGCGCAGGGTGGTACAGGGTGGCGCAGGGTGGTACAGGGTGGCGCAGGGTGGTACAGGGTGGCGCAGGGTGGTACAGGGTGGCGCAGGGTGGTACAGGGTGGCGCAGGGTGGTGCAGGATGGTGCAGGATGGTGCAGGGTGGTGCACGGTGGTGCAGGGTGGGGCAGGGTGGTGTTGCAGGGTGCCCGTGCGCACGTTCACGACGATGGGGTGACAGCAGCGGCCCAGCGTCAAACGGTCGGACGAGTTTGCTGGAGACTCGCGCGGTCGTCTTGGTTAACCAGGCGAGACTTCTAGAGACTGCTGCCGTGTTCTAGGTCGACTCAGCCTCAACTGAGCGCCCGGGGGCGTGGTGCTGGCCACCCGCCCCCATCGGGTGCCGTGAGCCGTGCCGGCCTTAGCGGGCGCCACTCGCTAACGGCACTTGCCCCGACAGTCTGCTAGGGCTCCACGCCGGAGGAGGGGGGGGGGGTAGGGACACGTGGTGGGGACACGTGGTGGTAGGGACACGTGGTGGTAGGGTCACGTGGTAGGAGGACACGTGGTGGGGTCACGTGGTGGTAGGGTCACGTGGTGGTAGGGTCACGTGGTAGGAGGACACGTGGTGGGGTCACGTGGTAGGGGACACGTGGTGGGGGCACGTGGTGGGGGACACGTGGTAGGGACACGTGGTAGGGGACACGTGGTGTGGACACGTGGTAGGGGACACGTGGTGTGGACACGTGGTAGGGGACACGTGGTGGGGGCACGTGGTGGTAGGGACACGTGGTGGTGGGGTCACGTGGTAGGAGGACACGTGGTGGGGTCACGTGGTAGGGGACACGTGGTGGGGGCACGTGGTGGGGGACACGTGGTAGGGACACGTGGTGGGGACACGTGGTGGGGGCACGTGGTGGGGGACACGTGGTAGGGGACACGTGGTAGGGGACACGTGGTGTGGACACGTGGTGGGGGCACGTGGTGGTAGGGACACGTGGTGGTGGGGTCACGTGGTGGTGGGGTCACGTGGTGGTCTGGTTGGGGTGTGTTTGTGCGTCTCTCACCGGGAGCACTCGGGGCGCGAGTCGACGCTCGCGTTGCTCACCGAGTCGCTGAACTCCTCGTCTCGAAATCCGGGCTCCTCTGGGATTCTGTGTCACCGCAGAGAAGCCGCGGTTTTGTGCGTGTGTGTGAGAGTGTGTGTGCGCGTGCGTGAGAGTGTGTGTGTGTGTGAGCGTGTGTGTGTGCGCGTGTGTGTGTGTGAGCGTGTGTGTGAGCGTGTGTGTGCGTGTGTGTGAGCGTGTGTGAGCGTGTGCGTGTGTGTGAGCGTGTGTGTGAGCGTGTGCGTGTGTGTGTGCAATGTGTGTGTGTGCGTGTGTGTGAGCGTGTGTGTGAGCGTGTGCGTGAGTGTGTGTGTGCAATGTGCGTGTGTATGTGTGAGCGCGTGTGTGTGTGAGCGTGTGCGTGTGTGTGTGAGTGTGTGTGTGCAATGTGTGTGTGTGCCCGCCTACCTGGTGAGCTTCGACGGCGAGGTTCCGCTATCCACCTGGTCTCTGATCTTCTTGGAGGGCTCGGGGGCCACGTCCCGCTTGCTCCCTGCAACACCGTGGGGGGTGGGGGGGGGGTGGCGGGGGGGTGACAGGGGTGGGGGGGGGGCGATCGTGAGAGCACGGTCAGGCCCCCATTCACCTGCCCCCCCTAGTCGTCGAATCGAAGGTGGTGGTGGTGGTGGCGGTGGTGGTGGCGATGGTGGCGGTGGCGGTGGTGATCGCGGTGGTGGTGGCGGCGGTGGTGGTGGCGGCGGTGGTGGCCGCGGTGGTGGTCGCGGTGGTGGCGGTGGTGGCGGTGGTGGTGGTGGCTACAACACCACTGCACGTGGCTGCCTGTAATCATCTCCAGCGTTGTGAAGGCAGCAGATAGGGTCGGTGTATCACCGCACACACACACACAGATGGTGATGATGCTGATGTGGAACTCCCTCCCTTAGCATGGGTGGGCATCGTGTGGGGCTGTACCCCCTGGCTCTCCAACAGATGGCGGTAACAGCAATACATGTGACACAGCGATCGATCAGTCCCCTCCCTGTCACTCGCTTATCGCTACTCTCATCGCGACTGTGCACGTGAACATTTGAACATTGACTCCTCCAACCTTGTTGAGGACTCGGTCTCTAGCAGACAATGACTGTGTCGTCTCGTCCACCTTGTGTCCACCTCCACCACCACCACCACACTGCAGGTAACAACAACACACCCACTCACACAATAACACACCCACCCACTCACCAACACACACACTCAATTACTCGACACACACACACACGACACACACACTCGACACACACACACACTCGACACACACACACACACGACACACACATTCGACACACACACTCACACACACACTCACACACTCACTCAACCTCAACACACCTGGCCGCCTCTTCATGGACACTCGGATGATGTCGGTGGCGGGCTCCACTTTGCCGCCGAACCGCTTGGCCTTCTCCTCCAAAAACCACTCCCCGGTCTCCACCTTGTACAGCCTGGAGATGGCGAATCACGCGCAAGCAACAACAGCAGCAGCGTTATCCTTTTCGATGAAACAAGTAAAATGTCTTCTTGGTTCTTTTGGTAAAGTCACGTGACTTTACCGAAAGAACCAAAAAGATGGATCCCTGCAGTCACGAAAGCTTTAAATTTAAAAGTAAAAATTTATTTATTTTTTATTTTTTACCAGGTGTTCTATTCTATTTCGGGATTCACACAGCAGCGCACATCGCTGAACCGCTACGCAGATCTTAGTCTCAACAAGCGACCCGGCTATTCGCAAATGACAGACGGCTCAACGTCGTCGCGTGGAAATTTACGGCGGTCGCCAAATGCTCGTTCGACGCGCGACGATCGTTCTAAATGTGGAAGGGGGGGCGGTGGGGGGCAAGGCGGAGGAGCCCGGGGAGAAATAATTCCACGCGACCACGTGGGCGGTGAGAGGGAGACGACACAAAAACTCCAAATATACAGCAGCGGGCGTCAGAGTCGGGGATTGAGCCCACGACCTCCTGCGCACCAGGCGAGGGAGTTAACATCGAATGGCTCCATCTGTGTGATGGACGTCCTCTTGGCCTCACGCCTTCCCTCTGTTGGCTGCCACCACCACCACCATCATCACCATCATCACCACTACTACCATCATCATCACCTCTACCATCATCATCATCATCATCACCTCTACCATTATCATCACCATCATCACCTCTACCATCATCATCACAACCACCACCACCATCACCACCACCACCATCATAATCACCATCACCACCACTACCACCATCATCATCATCACCACCATCATCATCACCATCATCACCATCATCATCACCTCTACCATCATTATCATCATCACAACCACCACCACCATCATCACCACCATCACCACCACCACAATCATCATCATCATCATCACCACCATTACCATCATCATCATCATCACCACCATCATTATCACCATCATCATCACCATCATCATCACCTCTACCACCATCATCATCACTACCATCATCATCATCACCACCATCACCACCATCATCTCATCCATCCCACTCAGTCATCCCAAGAGGCACCGTGATGTCTGTACCCCTGCAAAGGTTTTCTCCCTCCTATAAACCAGGCGAGGTAGTTGACATCTCCGAGCCACCGTGGCACCCCCACAGAAACACAAAGACCCCCCGTGTAGCCTCAACATACTGTAGGGGCAAGTGCTGTCAGCGAGCACCTATGAAGGCCGGCATGGCACACGAGGGGTGGGTGGCCAGCACCACGCTCGGCCGCCTTTGTCTCCCCAGTGGCGATGTTTACACACCGCACCAGGTACTCATTTGGGCTGAGTCGACCTAGCGGACCGGTTCAGATAATCGTCACCGGGTGTTGGCCGTGAGCGGGAATCGAACTCGGGTCGCCAGGTTCATAGCGCAGCGTAGCGCTAACCGCTACACTACTGCTCCCCACAAGACACTCACACACACACGCACACACGCACGCACACACGCACGCACACACACATGCACACACACATGCACACACACACGCACACACACATGCACACACACACGCACACACACACGCACGCACACACGCACGCACGCACACACGCACACACAGACACGCACACTACGCACGCACACACACACACATGCTCACACGCACGCACGCACGCACACACACACACACGCACACACGCGCACGGGCGGTGTGACAAGCGACCCCCCCCCCCCCACTCACGCCTCCTTGTGGCACACGGTGCACTTCCAGGCCTTGTTGCCGCCGCCCGCCTTGACGCGGCAGTCGTTGCACACGACGTGGCGGCACGCGGCGCACGGCTCGCCGCTGTTCATCAGCAGGCCCAGGCCCCGCTGGCAGCGGGCGCACGTCCGCCCCCTCGACGACTTCTTCACTCCCCGGCGCTTCAGCTGCCGCAGGTCCTTCTGCAGCCGCCTGGCGGGGGGGGGGGGGCGGGTTAGCGGCGAGGAGAAGAGGGGGCGGGGGGGTTAGCGGCGAGGAGAAGAGGGGGCGGGGGGGTTAGCGGCGAGGGGGGGGGCGGGGGGGGGGGTTAGCGGCGAGGAGGGGGGGGGGGGCGGAGGGGTTAGCGGCGAGGAGGGGGGCCTCCGTTGTGAAGGACGTCACCGTACGTAACCGACCGAGCTAATCGGAAGTGCCAGTGTGTACGTGTGTGTGTTGAACTTCTCTCGCACCGCACGTAGCCGACCGTGCCGATCGGAGTACGCGGTGGAAAGATAACAAACTAAACACAACAACGACAAGCAGCAGTTCTCAAGAAATGAGTTTGTCAATGTAGATGATGACGATGATTTAAAAGGGCATCACAGCTCCCCAGTGGCTTCTTGATATCTGAAGAGCGTTCCAGACGGACCGTAGAATCGCGTCTGAAAGCGCCGTGCGATGACCATGCGGTGACCACCGCCTTGGCTCCATGGCTGAGCCAAAATTGCCGCTGCTACTGCTGCTGCTGCTACTGTGAGGATGAGCGGAGTTGGCGTGATGATGATGATGGTTTATCGCTTCTTGACGAGACCAGCGAAGTATCGTGGTGCATTTGTGGCGGGCACTTAGTGTGTAATGATCGCAGAACTCATAACGATGTATTTTTCTTCTTGGTTTTTTCGGTAAAGTCACGTAGAAGGGAAGTCATTAAATAATACAAATAAAACATAATAAAATAATTCTCACGACGTTTCGGCTACAACGCAAGCAGCCGTCCTCAGGTGAAGAATGAGACACTGCCAAGCTTGGAGCTTATATATAAGCTGAGTTGGAGGTGGAAGAAGAGCGCCTTAACAAAAGAATGTGCATATCAAGAGGAATTTAGCATATTCATGTATTTGTTCGGTTTAACAGGCAGTAGGCTTTCGCAACCGCTATTATCCATAATAAAGGATTTTTGAGGTTAGATGCCGTAAATACAAATGTGTCTTCAACCCACCAACCACCCGACACGGCCAATCGGCAAGGTTTGTAACGTAAACAAAACCATTACTCATTCTTGGTTCTTTCGGTAAAGTCACGTAGAAGGGAAATAATAAACTAATAAAAATAAAACTATTACATTCTCACGACTTTTCGATTGAAACACAAGCAATCATCATCAGGTGTGAAAACCACAGCAAGAAAATTTGAAAAAAGTGGCGTTTTTTTTTAATGATGATTGCTTGTGTTGCAATCGAAACGTCGTGAGAATTTGAATGTTTTATTTGTATTATCATCCACTCACTCACCCACCCATCCACCCACTCACCCACCCACTCACCCACCCACTCACCCACTCATCCACTCACTCACCCATTCACTCACCCACCCACTCACCCACTCACCCACCCACCCACTCACCCACCCACTCACCCACCCACTCACTCACCCACCCACTCACCCACTCACCCACTCATCCACTCACCCACTCACCCACCCACTCACCCACCCACTCACCCACCCACTCACCCACTCACTCACTCACCCACCCACCCACTCACCCACCCACCCACCCACTCACCCACCCACTCACCCACTCATCCACTCACTCACCCACTCACCCACCCACCCACTCACCCACCCACTCACTCACCCACTCACCCACCCACTCACTCACTTGAGCCTCGTGTCGTCCATCTGCCGCAACTCCTCATCCCTCTTGAGCACCTCCAGGATGGCCTTGCGTTCGGCCTCCGACAAGAACCCCAACTCCAGCTCCATCCTCCTCCTCTTCCTCCTCTTCCTCCTCCTCCTCTACCTCCTTCTCTTCCTTCCCTACCTCACTCCACCACCTCCCGCTGTGCCTCCCAACGAACCGCACCACACTGCTCTCCACGAGACAACGCACAGTCTCCCACCTCCTCTCTCTCTCTCTCGGTCTCTCTCTGTCTCCGTGTGTCTCTTCTCTCTGTCTCTATCTGTCTATCTCTCTCTGTCTCTCTGTCTCCGTGTGTCTCTTCTCTCTGTCTCTCCTCTCTCTCTCTGTCTCTCTGTCTCCGTGTGTCTCTCTCTGTCTCTCTCTGTCTCTCTGTCTCCGTGTGTCTCTTCTCTCTGTCTCTACCTGTCTCAGCTCTCTCTCTGTTGTCTCGTCTGTCTATCTCGTCTCTGTCCGTCCCTGACTCCTCTCCCTCAATCCCCCACGCCCCCACTCACCCCACCACCAAGTGTCTAAACCCGGGCCGAAGGTCTCTGTCCTACTTGCTGTGCACCATTGCCAAACCCCAGAGGTCTTCACCCACCAGGCGCCGTCGGCTTGTGTCGAGCACCCGCTCGGTTCAACTATCATCTGCCGACGAGGGGTTCTTAAACCAGCGCTTCTTGCCTTTAAGAACACCGCCACCACCGCTGCCGACGTTTGAGTCGTAGTCGTCGTCGTCTTATTGATTCAAAGCGCGGTCGCCGCTCGACAGATTTATCTGCCGCTCAAGAGCGCAATGTGACATTTTCATCGTTTTCATCATTCACTTGGGCCAGTCCCTCCAGGCGAAGGCTCTGCAACGAGAGACGGAGAGAGAGGGAGAGAGACACAGAGAGACAGAGAGACAGAGAGACAGAGAGACAGAGAGGCAGAGAGACAGAGACACAGAGAGACAGACGGAGAGAGACAGAGGCAGAGGGCGACAGAGAGAGAAGGGGAGAGACAGAGAGACAGACAGAGAGACACACAGAGAGACAGAGAGAGACAGAGAGAGGGAGAGAAACACAGAGAGACACACAGATAGACACACAGAGAGACAGAGAGAGACAGAGAGAGGGAGAGAAACACAGAGAGACACACAGATAGACACACAGAGAGACAGAGAGAGACAGAGAGAGGGAGAGAAATACAGAGAGACACACAGAGAGACAGACGGAGAGACAGGGAGACACAGAGACAGAGAGACACACAGAGAGACAGAGAGACACACAGAGAGACAGAGAGAGACAGAGAGAGGGAGAGAAACACAGAGAGACACACAGATAGACACACAGAGAGACAGAGAGAGACAGAGAGAGGGAGAGAAATACAGAGAGACACACAGAGAGACAGACGGAGAGACAGGGAGACACAGAGACAGAGAGACACACAGAGAGACAGAGAGACACACAGAGAGACACACAGAGAGACAGACAGAGAGAGACAGAGAGAGACAGAGACGGAGAGACACGGAATGTTCAATCGTCAACTCACCGCTTTGCGCGGACGTACCGACTCATCTGTTGCGTAGGGTCCGCCTCGGGCTTTTTCGGGGTCTCTCTCTCGCTCACCCACCCCGCCCCCCCCACTATCCCCACCCCTTGCTGCGTTGTTTGCTAAGCGCTATACGACGTCCGACGTTTCGCTCCGGCCAGTATCAGGAGTGGTCATTCTCATCATCATCATCATCACAACCACTATTAAGAGTCGGCACCATCAAGATCATCATCAGTATCATTATATTCAGTATCAAAATCATCATCAGTATCTTCAGTATCAATATCATCATCAGTATCATCTTCAGTATCAATATCATCATCAGTATCATCTTCAGTATCAATATCATCATCAGTATCATCTTCAGTATCAATATCATCATCAGTATCATCAGTATCAAAATCATCATCAGTATCATCTTCAGTATCAAAATCATCATCAGTATCTTCAGTATCAATATCATCATCAGTATCATCTTCAGTATCGATATCAACATCATCAGTATCATCTTCAGTATCAATATCAACATCATCAGTATCATTAATGTCATCAGTCAAAGCAGCAGCAACATCATCAGTGTAATTAAAATCAGTATTATCATCATCATCATGAGTCAGCATCACCATCAATATCATCATCAGCAGCATTATTTAGAGTCTCATCATAATCATAATTTCAGTTTCAACATCATCAATGAGTTTCATCTTCACCATCAGTGTCAGCATCGTCATCATCATCGTCGTCATCATCATCGTCATCATCTTCATCATCATTGTCATCATCATCATTATCATCTCTCCAGGGTCAATAAACCCTCTGGCCCCTGCCATGGGAATAGATTTGGTTGCATGGTGAGTCTCTGTGTATCTCTGTATCTTTGTGGGTCTCTGTGGGTCTCTGTGTATCTCTGTGTATCTCTGTGGGTCTCTATGAATCTCTGTGGGTCTCTGTGTGTCTCTGTGGGTCTCTGTGTATCTCCGTGGGTCTCTGTGTATCTCCGTGGGTCTCTGTGTATCTCTGTGGGTCTCTGTGTATCTCTGTGGGTATCTGTGTATCCATGTGGGTCTCTATGTATCTCTGTGGGTCTCTGTGTATCTCTGTGGGTCTCTATGTATCTCTGTGGGTCTCTGTGTATCTCTGTGGGTCGCTGTGTAGCTCTGTGTCTCTATGTATCTCTGTGGGTCTCTGTGTGTCTCTGTGGGTCTCTATGTATCTCTGTGGGTCTCTGTGTATCTCTGTGGGTCTCTGTGTATCTCTGTGGGTCTCTGTGTATCTCTGTGGGTCTCTATGTATCTCTGTGGGTCTCTGTGTATCTCTGTGGGTCTCTGTCTATCTCTGTGGGTTTCTGTGGGTCTCTGTGTATCTCCGTGGGTCTCTATGTATCTCTGTGGGTCTCTGTGTATCTCTGTGGGTCTCTATGTATCTCTGTGGGTCTCTGTGTATCTCTGTGGGTCTCTGTCTATCTCTGTGTATCTCTGTGGGTCTCTGTGTATCTCCGTGGGTCTCTGTATCTCTGTGGGTCTCTGTGTATCTCTGTGGGTCTCTGTCTATCTCTGTGTATCTCTGTGGGTCTCTGTGTATCTCTGTGGGTTTCTATGTATCCATGTGCGTCTCTATGTATCTCTGTGGGTCTCTGTGTATCTCTGTGGGTCTCTGTGTATCTCCGTGGGTCTCTGTATCTTTGGGTCTCTGTGTATCTCTGTGGGTCTCTGTGTATCTCTGTGGGTCTCTGTGTATCTCTGTGTCTCTATGTATCTCTGTGGGTCTCTGTGTGTCTCTGTGGGTCTCTATGTATCTCTGTGGGTCTCTGTGTATCTCTGTGGGTCTCTGTGTATCTCTGTGTCTCTATGTATCTCTGTGTGTCTCTACGTATCTCTGTGTATCTCTGTGAGTCTCTGTGTATCTCTGTGGGTCTCTGTGTATCTCTGTGGGTCTCTGTATATCTCTGTGGGTCTCTGTGTGTCTCTACATATCTCTGTGTATCTCTGTGGGTCTCTGTGTATCTCTGTGGGTCTCTGTGTATCTCTGTGGGTCTCTATGTATCTCTATGTGTCTCTATGTGTCTCTGTGTATCTCTGTGGCTCTCTGTGTATCTCTGTGTATCTCTGTGCGTCTCTGTGTATCTCTGCGGGTCTCTATGGGTCCACCCACACGGTCCGCGGTTGATGTCGCGTGGCCACCGCGTCACTCCGACGGTGTCACTCGCGAAGGGCCGACCGAGGGTTTCTGGCCGACCGTCTCACAGCGGCGACTTGGAGAGAGCAACGCTGAAGGCGGGAGGCGGTATGACGATGTGGGGGGGGGAGGAGGGGGGGGGGAGGATGGGGCAGGGGGGTTTAAAGGTTGCATTGCCCCACGGTAAATGCAGTAAGTGCGGCACACTTGTTGAAACTCACGATTTACAGCCCAGCCTCGCCCCCAGCCGATGTCAACATTCCCCGGGGCCCCAATCGTCAACGGTTTCATGACAGAGCCGGCGCCGTCAGGTTCGGCCGGTTTTTGCTCTTTCAAAGACCGGTTCCCATGAATTGCCTCGGGCGAGGATGGGGCGGTGGGGTCCCGAGGCGTGGCTGCGTTACGGCGGCTAGGAGATGTTAACTATCTCGCTTGGTATGCAGGAGGTCGTGGGTTCGATCCCGACCCTGACACCTGCTGCTGTGTATTTGGAGTTTGCGTCTCTCTCTCATCATCATCACGGTGGCTAGGAGATGTTAACTACCTCGCCCGGTATGCAGGAGGTCGTGGGTTCGATCCCGACCCTGACGCCTGCTGCTGTGTATTTGGAGTTTGCATGTCTCTATCTCTCTCTCATCATCATCACAGTGGCTAGGAGATGTTAACTACCTCGCCTGGTATACAGGAGGTCGTGGGTTCGATCCCGACCCTGACGCCTGCTGCTGTATATTTAAAGTTTGCGTGTCTCTCTCTCTCCCTGTGGTCGCGTGGATTTTTCTCCGGGTCCTCCGGTTTTTCCCTCCACATTTAGAATCAACGTCACCACGCGTTTAGAGTGATGTGGCTGCTGCTATGCCTTTCCACACGATGACGATGATGACGATGAGCCACTTCGTTGAGCTATCATTTCTAAAAGAAAGGCTCGCTTCTGAAAAATAAGCTAATAGCTCAGTGGGTTCCTACCCGGCATAAAAACAGTTTATAGTTTAGATTTAATAGCTTTCTGCGAGAAGGTGGAATAAGAAAAAAATAATTTACAGATGCTCCAATGGCCGTTGTAAAATGAAACAGCCACGACGCCTCGACATTGTCGCAGGCACCCTCTCGTGCTTGCTGTGTCCGACTGGGGGGGCAGCCCCCCCATAGTTTATACACGGGCAGTCATCTGGTGTCTGACTGGGGGGGCAGCCCCCCCATAGTTTATACACGGCCAGTCATCTGGTGTCTGACTGGGGGGGCAGCCCCCCATGGTTTACACGCGGGCAGTCATCTGGTGTCTGACTGGGGGGGCAGCCCCCCATGGTTTACACGCGGGCAGTCATCTGGTGTCTGACTGGGGGGGCAGCCCCCCATGGTTTACACGCGGGCAGTCATCTGGTGTCTGACTGGGGGGGCAGCCCCCCATGGTTTACACGCGGGCAGTCATCTGGTGTCTGACTGGGGGGGCAGCCCCCCATGGTTTACACGCGGGCAGTCATCTGGTGTCTAACTGGGGGGGCAGCCCCCCATGGTTTACACGCGGGCAGTCATCTGGTGTCTGACTGGGGGGGCAGCCCCCCTTAGTTTACACACGGGCAGTCATCTGGTGTCTGACTGGGGGGGCAGCCCCCCATAGTTTACACGCGGGCAGTCATCTGGTGTCCGACTGGGGGGGGCAGCCCCCCATAGTTTATACACGGGCAGTCATCAGGTGTCTGACTGGGGGAACAGCCCCCCATAGTTTATACACGGGCAGTCATCTGGTGTCTGACTGGGGGGGCAGCCCCCCTTAGTTTATACACGGGCAGTCATCTGGTGTCTGACTGGGGGAACAGCCCCCCTTAGTTTACACACGGGCAGTCATCTGGTGTCTGACTGGGGGGGCAGCCCCCCTTAGTTTATACACGGGCAGTCATCTGGTGTCTGACTGGGGGGCAGCCCCCCTTAGTTTATACACGGGCAGTCATCTGGTGTCTGACTGGGGGGGCAGCCCCCCTTAGTTTATACACGGGCAGTCATCTGGTGTCTGACTGGGGGGCAGCCCCCCTTAGTTTATACACGGGCAGTCATCTGGTGTCTAACTGGGGGTGCAGCCCCCCTTAGTTTACACACGGACAGTGCTGCCGCCAATAACAACGATATTGTACACCCCACCAGCTGTTTC